ACTAACACTTATTTAATACCAGCTGACACTCTTGTAAGCACTTCACATATGCTTATTATAATATCGCAGTATTCCCTTGGGAACCTTTGTCTGTTCCACTCATTGAGAGTCAGAATATATAAATAACTTGCCACAGGTTCTGCAGCTTCTGCATTTGAACATAGTCTGTCCTAAAGGATTTTTTAAAATATATATTTATTTTTACTGGAAAGACAGATTTTACAGAGAGAAGAGCCAGAGAGAAAGATCTCCCATCGCTGGTTCACTCCCCAAGTGGCCCTGATGGCTGGAGTTGAACCAGTCCAAAGCCAGGAGCAAGGAGCTTTTTCCCAAGGGTTTGCGCTATCCTCTATGGCTTTCCCAGGCCCCTAAAGACTTTTTTTTCTCAATTGTTGCTGTTGCCTTTCAGCTAAATGTGAAGGAATAATTGTCAACAAGAGATTTAGCTGGGCAAAGAGGTGGGAGAGGACGTTTTGGTGTGGAAGATAGAAGATTGTCAGGTCTGGCACTGTGGCTGAATAGGCTAATCCTCCATGTTCAAGCCCCAGCATCCCATATGGTGGCCAGTTTGTATTCTGGCTGCTCCATTTCCCATCCAGCTCCCTGCTTGTGGCCTGAGAAAGCAGTAGAGGATGGTTCAAGTCCTTGGTACCCTGCACCCTTTTGGGAAACCGGAGGAAGCTCCTTGCTCCTGACTTTGGATTGGCAGTATTCGGGCCATTGTTGCCATTTTGGGAGTGAACCACTGGGTGGAAGATCTTTTCCTCTTTTTCTCCTTCTCTCTGTAAAAACCTGCCTTTCCAAATAAAAATGAAGAAATCTTTAAAAAATTGTCTTTGGGAAATACTAGGAAAATAATAGAAAGTTTTAATTGGTAGTGAAAAAGAATGAATAAAGAAGTCTTTAGAAATTCCAAGGTGATCCCTAGCTTTGCAAGGCTGTTGGCTGCTGTTTGCCTCCCAGTGGCTAACTGTGCCTTTTGCTGAGTTGGGTGTTTATAGAGTGACCGGCTGGTGTCTGTGCCCATTGCTTTCCAGCCTGGGCTCAGTCGTGAGCTTGTCTTACCTCCTGCACCCACTCTTCCTGGGGGCTGCTGGAGGGTGCCCGGAGCTGCTACTTCAGTGTCACTCCCTCTCCTCCTGTTTCTTACTGAAGCTTGGTCTCTAGCTTTGATTTATCCCTGTTTGCTTCTGTCTAGCCCTACTTTGCAATTGGAAGACCTGGGCAGGCCATCTGTGTTCCTGGCTGTGCAGTCTCTTTTCCTTGACTATACTTGCCTGTGTACTTGATGGGATAGTGGTATAATTCAGATAAGCTCCTGGACATGCCTTTCAAGGCATACAGTGTGGCATACGTGAATGGCAGTTTTACTGTTTCCCACGTCCCCATGGAACATGGCCCATTCCCTGCCTTCATGGAAGCACCAACCTTCACACGGCACACTTTCTGTTGATTTTTTTTTTTACCTTTGTGGGCTGGAAGGCCCTGGATCTTTCTCTTTGAATTTCCCAGAAGTTGGCATAGCATTTGCTGGCATGAGTTTGGTGGCTCAGTAAGTGTTAGAATGAAAGGGTCAGGAGTGTCTGTCAAAAGGATGTTTAGTTATAATTTTTTTTCCCTAGTAAAGCCTTCCTGACAGATGTTATACTCTTGCAGTTAGTCTTACAAAAAATCAGGCGTGTGATACCTTGTGTTCCTTCCTAGAGGATGCCAAATTCCAGTGCCTTTGGCTGCCCTCTTCAGGAGCTATGCTTACTCTATAAATACTTTTTCCATTGATCCTTTAAAAAAGATAAATCCAGGAATGATTCTAGATTTTGAATCAGTGATATAAAATATTTGATACTCTATTAAGCTAACAAATGGGATCTCAAAACATTCAAGGGCAGTGCTATGAAAAACCTTTATATGCATTTCAGACATTTTTGCACCAAAAGCATTTTTATCTTCTGTGTCATCTTTACATGAACTTTTTGAAGTACCTGGATATGTACTGAATTTTTTTTATTTACCAAGCCCTTAGAGCCAGGATGGAAACCTGAACAGAGAAGATTTTTGTTCTCATACACCTTGCATTCTTAATGGAATGCCAGGCAGTAAAGAAGTGAGTGAATGGAATGATTTCAACTCTCAAGTCTGGTGGAGGGCAGTTGATGGCAGAGGGCTGCAGCCCAGTGAGACACACTCCACAGGTGTAACTAGACTGGCTGTGTTACAGCTGTCAAGGTCCTGGCTTTACTGTGTATCCACTTGTCTTGTGACTGAGTAATTGAAGCTTAGCTGCAGCAGGTAGGCCTGTGGAGGAAGGCTTCTGGCCAGCTGGAGAAGGAGATGGCTGGCAGCCGGGCCTTTTGCATCACTGGAGAGCATCCCAGTGTACCTGTGGACTTCTCTAGTTGATGAGGCCCCTTTCTGTTTAGGTTATTGGTGTTTGAGTATCTCGGTGGGAACAAGGGAGAGAACATTCAGTCACCTTTCTTTACCCCCTTGCTGTGTCAGTGCAGCCACATCCTCCATGGGAGGGACCTGTCACTTCCTGGTTTCCTCTGTGTGCTGCAGGGCCTGCCAAGAGAGAAGGCCAAGACAGAAGAGGAAGGTGTAGACATTTGTTTGATTATGTAAAGTGGGATCCTGGATCTCAGGCTGGATGGAACCAGTTATCTGAAAGTCAGGGAGAAGGAAAGGCAGTCCTCCTGAGCCAGGCCAAGTCAGACACATTTTGAGGAAATTTGGAGAGTGGAAGGAAACCACAGTGACTAGATAGCAAGTTGGATGTGAAGTCTAGAGTGGAGTGCAGCCAAGGTGTCAAAGGCAGAGCATCACACAGGTCCTGGGCCATGCTGGAGTTTGAACTTAAGTCCTACTGCAGGCTGCAGGGGTCTTTGAGTAGAGCAGAAATCTCTCATTGGCATTATGAAGTTGTCATCTTGGCTGCACTGTAAAATGGGGAGAGTAATTGCCAAAAGCCCAGGCAGTGGGTGAGACCCTGGGGAGGATCCATGGTGTGGTATACCAGCTGGAATGGGGAGACCAAAGGCAGCCTAGGGCTGCACTACTGTGTCCTGTGCACTGATGTACCATGCAATACGCTGGACAGAGGCAGCAAAGCAGTGTAGTGGATGGTGGTGCTGTCGGCTGAGGCAAGGCAACCTAAGAAGAACAGGTTCTGAAAGTGAGGAAGTGCTGCCCTTTGGCCATGTTTTCTCTGAGATAGGCCTTTTGGACCCCTTAGAGCTTTTAGTTGAAATCTGGCCGCAGGCTATGTGGATCATGGAGTTACTGCTGACAGGAGACTGCAGCAGAGAGGTGAAGTTCTTCTGATAGACCCTAGGATTTGAGAGTTAGGTCATTCCTGTGTGCAGTATGATCTGATGATTTACACATTGTCTTTATTTTAGAATTGCCGATTGGAACTTTCTTTGATTTGGTTCATTCACGAAAGTATTGAGGGTTCCTTTAAAAGGTTCATGGACAATGCATATCTAGAAAAAAATTATGCGTTTTGAAGTATTCTTGTGTATCAAATAGAGATGACAGATTTCTCAGTCAGAATTAAATCAGAGAAAATCAGCATACCACTAGCAAGTAAGTCAAGTAGGATACGTTCTGTGGTAGGGGAGCATGTGGCACAAAGCATAGGATGTCCCCAGCCTGGGGACAGGTTGCGTAGGAGTCCTGGGTGAAGTGGGCTTCTGGCAGAGGGGACAGTTAGTGGTAGGTAGGCCAGTAGTTTGTATCAGAGTCAGAATGTACAAAACCTTTCTTTTAAACCTGCAGATTCTGCATAAGATGCTTAATAATTCCTCATCAAGACTGTCTGGCTCCTAAGTAGGATACTTCTCTTGTGGTTGTTAATACTGTTTCATTTCTACTGGTTTCACCAGGTAAATTCATTGATTAGTAGGAATTTCCACTGCCCTATGCTTAGTTTTATTCTGGTGGAGTGAATTGGCAGTCCATGACTGTGTATTATTTCAGTGAGCCAAGGAGACTTGTTCTAGGAAGCCCGTGTCTCATTCCTGGAGGAAAAGAACTCTTTAAATCCAACTGTATTATGCATAATTTTATACATTTTGACCACAGTAATAGGTATGTTAATATGTATGTATTGAGACCAAAAAACAACTGATGCCGTTTTTCTTACGAGTTGAATAGCAATGCATATTGTTTCTTGAGTAATTCTTGTAGAATGTTAAAGAAGATTACTAGTGCGTTTTCTCAGAACATGAACTCCTTAGAACTCTGTAATACAAACAACTTCTGTTGCTGAGGCAAATGTATAAAGGTGTGTTGACAGAGGATCATGACCGTGGTCAATGGAGTTGTGAGGTTTTAACTGGGTTGCTAGGGCCCTTTGGAAGAAATGGCTGTGTAGCTACTCAGTCCTAACAGGGATTTTCTCTGGCCCAAGTTCCCTGCACCACCTGCTCATCTACTCTGGTATACCAGGGACAATTCTAGGAGACATAGCAGGTCCCCTAACATCCAAACAAATGTGCGGACTGGTCACTTGGAGGTTGAAAGATGGCACCTGGGGGCCCACAGGGAGCAGGGCATGGGCATGTGGTTGGGGGGAGGCATGCGGGTCCACCTGAGCTGCTTTCTCTTGTCATGCCAGGGAATTTGGTTGGTGTGGTGGGCAGAGGGAGAAGTGTCATGTAGGACCTTCACTGGCAGAGTCCCAGGGAAACAAACCCGTTCCTCCTCACAGCCTGTATGAGGAGATGACTTCTCTAGGAACCCCTCCATCCCTATCCCTCTGTCCTAGCTGGTCTGGCATGCTCTGACCTTGAACTGGCCTTATAAGCTCCTGCACTGGTACAAGACCCAGGTATAATTCAGAATTATTTGAAATACAGAATTGACAAACAGGAATACTAGTTTTGCTTTATTAGTGAATAAAACTAGGTCTATCACCATTTATTTCTGAAAAAAAAAACTTTCAAATTTCTGATAATAGTGAGAATGTGTTGGTATAAATGGAAACTTTTTCTTTTCAGATAACGTGGATGCAAGCGACCTGAAGCAATTTTTTGAGACCAACTATTCTCAGATATATTTCATCTTCTATGAGAATTTTGTAACACTGGAAAATAGTTTGAAATTAAAAGGTAAGCATTTCTACAAATGTTTTAATATTCAGGAAATTCTATGCATGGAGGTCATCATGAGCCACATATTCTACATGTTAAGCTTTCCATCTTGTCAAGTTTTTAAGCAAAGCTGTACAGTTACAGCAGACTGGTTGCCATCTGTGTTCCCCTTGCACTTCCTCTTATATTGCTGTTAATTATGAGTGAGAGGTGGCTGCAGAGAAGATGAAAGGAACCTGCAGAAGGTGTGAGCTACTTTGGAAAGGAAGAAAAGTAATACATGTTCACACTCTGAAAAGATCCCTACTGCACTGAAGGGTTTAAAGTGAAAACGGCATTGTCCAGATCTCAGACTTGCTCTACGCTGGCTACCACTATGAAAGATACCCTGTGTCTGCTTTCATGTGTATTGGTAATGCATGTGTTTATATATGAGAGGACTTCAGAGAGTTTGTGGGAAAACAGAATCTGAAGATAAGTTTATTTTGGTCCCCAAAATTTTGAAATCTGTGCACATAATGCTCATAGAAAGCATGTTATGGAAAAGCTATACATGGATTTAAGAAAAAATTTGCAACAAAATAAATTTACCTTAAAAAAAAATCTTTCCCCGCCATGGGGAACTTTCTGATTGTCAAATGGCTGAAACTGAGCTATCTGGCCCTTAATAAGCCCTCAGGAGGATACAGATGTGCACTCATGTTTAAGATCCATTGTTCTAATTCATGCTGTTCCCATTAAAAAAAAAAAGCGAAAACTGATTCTAGACCATCAGACAGATGTTGAAACGCCATCTGCATGACCAGCCATCTGTGTTGCACATCTGTAGAGGAGGGTGTCTTACTCCTTGGGCAAGGAGCTTTCATGTCCAGAATAGGGCCTCTGACACTGGTTTGACTTCTGCTTAATCCTGCATCTATTCATTCATTCAGCATGTAAGTGGTAACTGTGCAAGGCATTGTGCTGTTTCCAGGAAGAATCCAGAAATAACTCATACTGAACATAATTCACAGGGAGAAGGTCAGGTTTGTGGAATGGCTGGAGAATAAGCTGCAGGTGTAATTATGCATATGCATATAAGCATATGTAATTATGGAGAAGAGCTGGCTCTGGGGAGAGACACTGGGAGAGATGTATGAGCTCAAGTGGCAGAGAAGAGCACTGCAGATGGAAGGTGGAACCTAACCCAAGTCAGAGAAACTGTTCTTAGGGCGCAAGTGGGAAATGCAGTTTTTTTTCTTACAATATAAGGAAAGTGAAAGAGATTTGCAAAACAAAACAAAACAACAAAAAAAAGATTTTGCATGCCTCAAGTGTTTGGATTCTAGTCTAAGGAGTTTGAATATTGTTCTTTCAATGGGAGCTCTTGATAGCATTGGCTGCTAAGACACATATTCCATAAAATGGTAAGTGGACTAGGTCACAGGAAGACCAGTCAGAAGAACTGAGCTGCCATCCTAGTGAGAGCTGTTTGTCCAGGAGAGAGCTGGTAATGCCTAATACAGGGAGTAGGTAGTTAAGGTCTCAATGGGTGCACTGTCTATGAGAGTTGAATTTAAGGGAAAGGAAGAAGTCTCAGATGCTTCTAGGGTGTTGAGCCTGGTTTGAAGATACCATTACAGCAATGGGAATTCTGGAGGACAGCCAGGATTGGGAGGTGCGAGGATACCTGTGGTATACACTGGGACAGGTATTGGCTGAACAGTAAAAAAAAGAGGGACAGGAGCTTGGAAGAAGAGAGGTAAAATCACACTATTGCCAAAGGAGAGGCCTAAATACACACACACGCACACACACACGGGCACGGGCATGTATTCATTTTAAAGGCAGAGTGACAGTAAGATAGAGAGAGAAAGTGCATACAGTGAGATATATTTCATCTGCTGGTTCGCTTTCCAAACCAGCAGAGTATAGCATGGGCAAGGCCAGATTGAAGCCAGGAGCCAAGAACTCCACTCTGGTCTCCCATGTGGGTGACTAGGAGCCAAATATTTGTGCCATTATGTGCTGTCTGCTGGTTGCATTAGCAAGGAGCTGGATCATAAGTAGCATGGTATTCTACACCAGACACTCCCGAATGGGACAGCACCAGTCACAGAAAGTATATGCAGAAAAAGAAATTGATGATCATAACTTCAAGCTAAATCTTTCTTTTATGGGCCAGAGAAAGAGTGTTGAAATGTAGTAGTAGAAGGAGGAGAGGTGCCAGGGAGGTGGTTTTTCATGGAAACTCAGGGAATAGAGTGTTCACCTCATGGAGATTAGTGGTGATGATACAGGAAGGCAAGGAACAACCGGACCAGGAAGAGAGAGCTGATTAAGATGTCATCAGTAACTGCTGAGAAAGAAGTTCTAGATAAGCCAGACAGCGGGCCAATGGAAGCCACCAGTGAGTGTATCCTTTTAGAAAATTCCAACTGAAGACAGGGGTCCTATCTCAAGCTGGCCATGGGAAGGTTTTAGGGGGATGAACCTGCCTGTTGGGTGACCAAGCAGAGGGCGAGCCAAAGATGACCACGACTGATGGTACAGGTGCTGGTGTTGGATTTAGGCAAGGTCAAGTAAAAAGAGATATGGAGGAGAGTATGCAAGATGACCTTAGGTAAGGAGAGAGATAAGAGGAGTGTAGATAAGACCTTTTAAGGCAGACAAAAAAAAAAAAACAGTAGGACTTCCTGTTCATTGTCCTGATTGCTCCTATAAAGAGAGGCATATGTCAAGCAGGAAGGGCAGGCATTCTGGGTGAGGCACTCTGGAGAGCTGTGACGGAGGGCAGATGGCTCAGTTGCACTGAATGCTCCAGGCTCTAGTAGGCCACCAAGCCATGCATGGGTACATGCCCAGGGTGCTATGCTAATGCGTTGTTTTTCTTAATGAATTGTTCTATGTCTCCCTGTGCCTTATGATATGGAATAAATCTTGAACTTAACTTCTTTCTTTTTATGACATTGGTAAGATTTTTCCTACATCCTAGCATTGCAGCAGGGCCCTTTGTTTTCACAGGTATGGGGAGGAGGAAATGTGATACCATGTGCAGTCAGAATAGTAAAGAAAAAACGAACTCCATATCTTAAAAGGAAACTCTCTTTTCTTATCTCTTTTCCCTCTTCTTTCTGCCTCTGTCAGTACTTTATAAAAAAAAATGAGGCTACTCAAGGCTGTGTATCAGTAGATTTGTGCTGCCTAACAAAATACCTCAAAACTGAATGCCTTAAAACACCCATTTAATTTAGGATTTCCTGGATCTGCAGGCAGCCCTGCTTTAGACTGGCTCAAGCCCCTGAGGTCAGCTGGTGGTAGAGGCCCTCATTCACCTGTCTTGTGGTTGTTATGCTGTTGACCACATTACCTATTCCTTCTCTTCCAAGTGGCCTCATTCTCCACTTAGCTGTTCTTCACCTAGTGGTCCTCAAGTCCCAGGCTCAGCTAGTGTGTAAGGCTTTCAAGCTTGTGCTGGCATTACATTTGCTAATGTCACACGGCCGTGGTAAGTTGCATGCCATCTCGGATTCAAAGGATAGAAAATAGATGTGTTTTAGTGGGAGGGTGAAGAACTGATCACTTCACTACGAAGAATTAAGATGAATCTTGTCTTTGGCATGGACCAGCCTTGTAGACTGACCAGTGGATGGGAGCTCACTTCCTTTGTCCCTTCTATTATTCTGCTTTGTGGTATAGTGGGAATACCAGCACCTGCAGCATCAGCATCCCATGTCAGAATGCTAGCTCATCAGGGCCCCTACCATACACCTGGAAGACTCAGGTGGCATTACTGGCTCTTGGCTTCTGTGTGGTGCAGGCAGGAGTAAACCAACAAATGGAAGATTCTTCTCTGTATCTCTCCCTCTGTCTCTGTCACTCTGCCTTTCAAATAAGTAAATAAATAAATAAATAAATCGTACAAGATGATAGTAATCATGATGAAAAAAACCTATGAAAACCAAGCGAACTTTTAAAAAGCTGCTTACTTTTAAGATAGTCCATCTGATTGGAATTTAGGGAAAAAATATATCCCAATAAAGGAATAAAGGAAAACACTTCTTAGGAATAGGAGATAACCCTGGGATAACTTCAGGCTTCCAGACATATTCAGGCCAACTCCTTGGCGGTCCTGGCTGTCTCTCTTCAAAATACATCCAACAACCTTTCTCTTTGTCTACCACGCTAACCCTGCCTTATCGTAGTAGTCCTGGAAGTCATCTGCCCGTACTCTCTTCCCCCAAGAGCAGCTGGAGCCTTGCTTTAAACATCTGGGCCAAATCTTGACTCTCTTGCTTTTGTCTCTTCCATGGCGTTTCATTCCTAGGGTTATTAACAATGGTTGCTTTCTTTTCCCACCTACTTTTCAACCTTAGCTGCTATTATCTCCCCTCCCTCCCCACCATGCCAGCTTTAAAGGCTTTGGGTGTTTCCTGTAATGTCACAGGACTTTGCACTGCCCACTTCCTCTTCTGGACTGGGCCTCCCCCAAATATTCGTATGACTTGCTTTCTTACCTCTTTCAGATCTTTGTTCAGATGTTAGCTTATCAGCAAGGTGTTCCCTAATTCCTTGTCAAAACTATGCACACCCTTTTTTTTTTTTTGTCTTCTCCATCTGCCTTCACTGTTGTTATTTGTTGCATAACTGTGGAATTCTTCCTTCTGCTAGAATATAAATTTCCTTGGGGCAGGGATTGTTGATTATTATCTGTTTTGTAGACATTCTTCAGTACTTTTCAATGAATGAGTGAATCTATTCACAGAACTGTGACAACTCACTTAGATCAGGAGCCTGAAACAGCCCACACTGCCTGACTTTATAAATAAGGTTTTGTTTATTCCTTTTAAAGATTTATTTCTTTACTTTTTACTTGAAAGGCAAAGTGATGGGAGAGTGGGGAGGAAAGAGAATGGGAGACATAGAAAACATGAGATCTTTCATCCATTTGTTCCCTCGCCAAAGGCTGCAATGCCTGACACTGGTTCAGGCTGAAACAAGGGGCTAGTAACTTCATCCATATCTTCTGTGTGGGTAGCAGGGACCCAAACATTTGCACCATCTTCTGCTGCTTTCCCAGGCACGTGGAACAGAGCAGCTGGGACTCAAAAACAGGTGCTGCAGCATAGCTACTGGCAGCTTAACCTGCTATGCCTTATGTATTTAGACCTAGGGTTTTTTTTTTTTTTTAATTATCTTATTTAGTTGATTAGGGTACTATAGGAAAGTGGGTAATACCATTGTTTCTACACTAACATCATCTCTTTTCCCCCCTGTATCTGGAGTCAGGGGAGAAACAAAGGAAGAAGTCCCACCCAGCCTCCCACCCATCCCAGATCCCCAAATGTGGGGCATTCTCTGAGGGTCCTGCTCAAGCAGTTCTGATAGTTTAGCAGGTCTGAATTGTTGCCAGTCTCGCCATTCCAAGCACAATGAAATCTCTTCAGAATCCACTGGCTGACATAGTCTCTTCATGGTTGGGGTTCTAAGATCAGCAGTTCAGTTGGAGGTATTTCCAAAGAAACTTCGTCTGAGGTGATTCCAGACTTCGTCTGAGGTGTTTCTTGTGTGAGTTTGCCAGAACAGGGTCTGGCACTGTCCATCTCCCCAATCAGCTTATGCAGATGCTCGTCATTGCAATTGCTGGGTCAGTTCTGTTTCCACCCCTGTCTTCCATGCGAACCGCTGGGGGCTGTAGTCCAGCCTGATCCTGCCCACTTCATCCTCGGCCCTCATACAAGCCAGTGGCAGCTGTAGCCTAGTTGGGGTGACTCCCCATAACCTCCACCGGTTCTGCCCCCTACCCTGGTTCCCATGCATGCCAGTATGTACCGCAGACTTGTTCCATCTGTTTCACATCCCATTTAGCTCTCATATATGTATTTATTTGGAAGGTAGAGCAACAGAGGAGCAGCAGGGGTGGAGTAGGGATGGGGAGGGGGAGAAGAAATGTCTTCCTTCTTGTATTATGCCTCAAATGGCCACAACAGCCAGGATTACACTAGTTCCACACTGTGGGCCAGAAACCCCATCTAGATCTCTCACATGGGTGGCAGGGGCCCAAGCACTTTGGACCATCATACAGTGCCTTCAGGTGCGTTTGCAGGGACCTGCGTATGAAGCAAAGCAGCTGGAACTCAAACTGATGGTCTGCTATGGGATGTGGGCATCCCATGTGGCAGTTTCACTTCTTTGTCGCAGTGTCAGCCCCAGTGGCATTTTATTGACTACAGCCGTACCCATTCACTAATATATTGTCCGTGATTGCTATGGATGCCAAGAGGGACCCGAAAAAGCCTGAAATATCTGCTCTAGCCCTTTATAAAAACTTGTACTGACTGTCGAGTTAGATGATGTAAACTAAACCTTTAGCACCCTTCCTGGTATGTGGAGTGCACAATAAATGTTAACTGCTGCCACAGATGTTACAGGTTTCTTTTTTTAAATTGTCGCTGTTGTGAAAAGGAACTGTGCCATTTCCCAGAGACGCACTACTTTTTACTGCTGCTTCTTTACCTGCATGTATTGCCAAGCCAGAACTCTGTTTTTGCTGTACATTCTGCCACGATTTGAGGTTGTAAGTAACTTGTTGGAAAGTGAATAGATTCCCTGCCATGGATTGCTAATAACTTTGAAACATGACCAGCTGTCTTTTAAACAGCTAGCGAGGAGCAGCTCTGCAGATTCATCCCTGGGCAGTCCGTGATCTCCCTTTGTGTTCCCACTGTGTGCTCTATATGGCTCCAAGTACTTTTTGAATAAATCTACTTATGTTGAGGCTAAATGTTTCAAGATGCTCTTGAAGATAATTTCTAATATCCTAAAATTAAAACATTGTTGTAATATCTGTATGTGTGTTCTTATCTTCCAGGGAATAATAAATCCCAAAGGGAGGAGCTGGACTCCATCCTCTTTCTTTTTGAAGTAAGTTATGGTCAATTATTTTAGCTTTTTAGGATCATTATTGGAGGAAAAGTATTTTAGGTCTTCAATTGGGCTCTCTCCCTCTTCACTCCCCCTCTCTCCCTCTCTCTTTCTTCTCTCTTAAAAAAATTGTGCCGCTTGCATTTGTATCCTTAGATAATTGGATGTGTGGTTCTGCTGGATTTTGAGTGGAACAGAGTTGTCTGTGTCTTGCTTTTTATATTTCACATTTTGTTTTTATACGTTGTTTCTAAGATTCGCACACATTTTTAAATTTACCAATTCCGACTGGATTAAGTGAATACAATGATTTATTTAACTCCTATACTTTATTGTTGCTTTCTTGGTCAAATGTCAGATTGTTTATGAATTATGAGTGGACAGGTTGACTAGTTACGCTGTTTCTCTAATTTAGCCTGTAGTCCGCTGATGAGTAGAAGGAAGGTGGTCATTCCATGTCTCCTGTGGATAGAGGTTGGGAAACTTTTGAGCAGTATTTACATTAAATCAGGGTGCTGTTGTCGCCAATTGGTAAGATTCACAGAAGAGTCACAGATGAAGTTTCCAATGTTTGCTGCATTGATGGAGAGGATCGTATGATGATCTTTTCTGAGTATTAATTGAATGAATTACAGCTCTAGATTTGTAGATGGACTGGTATTTTAGTTTGTAGTAGTTTTGGATTGATGCTTTTGTCTTCACACCTGAAGTAGGTTGGCTTAAATTTCCCATTCTTTGTATATTTAAAAAAATTATATATATTCACATACATGTATGTCTATGTCCATATATGTATGTGTGTGTATATGCATACTTGTGAGGTAGAGTTACAGTTAAGACAGAGAGAGTGATGGAGACAGATTGGATTGATGGACCAAGAGAGAAATCACATCTCTTGGTCCCCTCAGCCCTGCTGTCCCTGCTGCGTCAGTCTGAAGCCAGGAGTTGGGAATTCAATCTGGGTCTTCCATATGAGTGACAGGGCCCCAGGTGCTTGAGCTGTCACTGCCCCCTAGGGTGTACATTCACATGAACTGGGCCAGGAGCAGAGGTGAGATGCTATGCTGGCACTCCGATGTAGAATGTACATATCCTAATGCAATTTAAAAAAATGTGTTATTTGTGATTAGCATATGATCTTGGTATATGAAGCAGGAACATCCACAACTTTCTCCTTTTCCTATTTTATCAGTTTCTGGATTGTTTTTCATTTGTGGCTGGTTGCTTTTGATAATCTCTTAATGCCTGTTCATTTTTCAACGTGGGTTATTGACTATTTACCATTTGTTTCCTTGCCATTCCTGTTGTTCACAGTCTTGGGTTATCAGGATCTGTTGACAATCTCAGCTCTCTCTCTCTGTGATTTCTTCTCACGCATCTTTTGTTACCCTTGATCTTGTTTCCCCCTCCCCGCTCCCAGGAAAAAACTTCACTCTTTTCTTCATTTTATTTAAAAAGAGCTTTTAATGATTTATTTAATCAAAAAACATAGAAGCTAAGAGAAGGAAGGAGAGATGAAGAGAGATCTTCTACCTTGTGGTGACTCCCTCAATCCCCATGGCAGCCATGGCCAGCCATGCTGGAAAAGAAGTTGAGAACTTCATCTTGGTCTTGCACCACAATGGGGTCTCATCTGCTGTTTTCCCAGGCTGGTTAGCAATGAACAGAATTGGAACTTGGGTGACCAAGATCAAACTGGCATTCCCACATTTGGGATGCCAGCGCTGTAAGCATTGGCTTAACATTATTTTGCATCTTTTTTCAAATTAATTAATTTTATTTGAAAAAGAGAGATTTACTGTTGATTTATTTCCCATGTGCCGGTTACAGCCTGGAATGGACCAGCCTGAAGCCAGGAGCCAGAAACTCATGCTAGGACTCCTGTGTGTGTGTCAGGGAGCCAAGTACTTGAGCCATTCTCTGATGCCTCCCAGGGCACACGTTAGCAAAAAGCTGGAATCTGTCCTGAAGTGGAAACTTGAACACAGGTATTTTGTCTGACATGGGATGGGGAAGTCCCAAGTGGCATTTTAACTGTTTCACTGCGTGCCTCCTTTCCGCCTGTCTTTAGGATGCACAGTGCAGCATTGCAACCCAAGTGTACAGAATAAGTAGAACACAGCAGGCAGTTAGCATCTGCAGCTCACGCCTGTTCCCCATGTTTTCAGCCCCAGCTGCTCTCCTCCAGTTCTTGTTGAAGTGTTTACTGTGCCCCTGTGATCTGTAGTCACCCCACTGTGCTGTGGATCTCAAGGAGCTGTAATTTCTATCTGTGCTGGAATTTTAAAATCTGTATTATTTGAACACACACTTAATACTGGTTTCCTTTAGAAGGCTTATCTTTGCTTTTTTCTAGGAGTCTGGGAATTGTCTTGCTTGGATGACTATCACTGTTTTGTGGATCTGGTTTATTAATGCACTTCCAGGTTCAGTCTGACTTAGTGTGCAGGGGGTGACTGTAGATTGGGAAGGGCTGACACTTGCAGTCTCAGGGCTGGTATTGGCATTTATTCCCTACTGCCTGCTGTTGCCCACAGACCAGATTTTGGCTCACTTTTAACCTCCTTTCTGCTTCATTCCTACCTCTTCCCCTAATATTTTTTACATTCTGAGTAATTGCTTGAGAGCCTACCACGTTTTAACAATTATACTTGCTGTTGTTCATCTCAGGGTTCATTGTCCTGGAGTAGGAAAGCCGCTCGGAGGTCCTACTCCTAGACCTTCCACAGAGGAAGTTTTGATACCTTCCCTTCATGCCTAGAAATTCTAGACTGGAGGAGTGCTATTCCTGATGCACTGCCATTTACAGGGAGTTAGTCTTTTACATAATGAAACAACTATGTATTATCCAAGGCTTCATGAAAATTTCATTTTGCGTAGTAAATATGAATGAATAATGAACTTGCATCACTTTTGTTTATGCTGTGTTCTCGCTCTGCCTCTGACTTTAGAAGATAGGTTGTAATTTCAGTGTTTTGTTTTGGGTCCTGAGTGAGTTCATTGCTGTGCCCTATAAAGAGATGCTTTATGAGGATTTGAAGGTGAGTACTTATCAGTGTGAATAATTGCGAAAGGCTTCCTTCAGAAGAGGTGGAATAATTAAGATGGACTAAATCACAAAAGGGATCCTGGAGAGGTATATCCTATAAATAAGGAATGCACTAGAAGAAAGCAGAGTCATAGATCGAGGTGAGTTTCTGGAGACACTAGAGTGTGAAGCAAGCAGTCTGTATGTGAGGCTGCAGCCCAGTCCATGCCCAGGTCCTCGCTGCAGCCCCTGAGCAGACCTTTGTGTCTGCTTTATCTCTGCGGCGGCACTTGAACCCTTTGGAAATTGATCTCAGCACCTTGGCTGTGGCATCAGATAATAGGTGCCCTAGGATCTCTGTTGCTGGTTTATGGGGATACTGTTACTTTTTAAAACATAATCTTAAGTAATTTGAAATGCAGACGGGGAGAGAGGGATGGATGGATTGATAGATGGGGGTGAGAAGGAGAGGTGGGAGGAGAGAGATGAAAGAATGAATAAATGGATATCATCTGTCTGTGTATTCCCTCCCCAAATGCCCATAACAGAACTCTATCTGTGTCTCCCATGTGGGAAGCCAGGATCACGTGAACCCATTGATTTTTAGGATATGTAGTAATAAGAAACTGGAATCGGAGTGTGGCCAGGATTTAAATCTGGATACTGAGATAGTGAAAGCAGGTGTCTCACATGCCATCTGAACCACTATACTAAATGCCGGTCCCATATCTTATTTTTTATTGTAGTTGCAATTCTATTTTTGCTTCTCTTATTTCGTCTGTCATTGCTTTCTGTTTTAAGTACATGTAACATGAATTTTCATTGTCATCTTGATCAGAATGTGAATGTCTTACATAGGCCATCCTGTTTGACTTTTTTCTTCTGAAGTAGGTGTTGTCATCCTAGCTCTTATTGATGAAAGATTTGGGGCTTTGTGTCCAAGCCCACACATTTGGTGGATGACAGAATGGACATTTAACCTATAGTCTACCTCTAGAACCCATTTTCTCATCTCATTGCCATTGTTCTTACTATTTAGAAATCTTGATATTGGCTTCTCATATTGTATTGCACAGACCATCTGTAACAACATGTTCCTATTCTTATGCAGTTTATTCATTCATCCCTTTGTTCCTTGGACACATGGGCTATGTGCTGTGAGTCTGGGGGCTGGGGATGTAGCAGGGAGTGGGACAGCCAGCCTCCATCCTCACAGAGCACATATTAGCATTTCTTGGTAACCTGATTGATCAAGATGAGCCCATGCCAGAATTCTGAGCCTCAGAGATCACTACCGGGATGGCTCTGTTTGGTAGTGACCTTTTGGTGGGGGCCATTGAGGTAATTCCCTGCATATGGCAAAGGATGATTGATCTTGGGAGCCTTGTAGATTCATTGGTACCTGGGACTTGATTTAGTCATTGTGGTAAGACACATACATGACAGGAGGCATGGCATTCCACATGGGGCCAGAGAGGAAAGCATCAAGGTGAGACTAGCAGGCAGAGACAGAGAATGAAACTGAGGGTAGGAAAGATTGTGGGAGGCACAGTAAGCAAGCCAAGCAGGTTTAGGACTAGAAAGTTTGGAGCATTTCCATGAACTCTGGGCTTAGGGTGGCCCTGGCTGTCTGCTGTCTGAACACTTGGGTGATTAGGGAAGGAGGCTGCCACCTCAGAGAGTGGAGGCCCTGAGAGGAGAGGTTTGCTTATCAAAAGCATGCTAGTGGGCAGTCTGTCCAGGAATTAACCGACCGGGACTGGTGTGTGTTATTTTTTCCCCAGACCAACAAGACCATGAATTCAGAGCACCAGTAATTCAGAAGAATCAGAAAATATGGTTAATACAGAGACGGAGTTATAAACCATTTGCTATGATGTATACACTTCAAGTAGAGAAGTGGAATCATTTGGAGTTATGCCGTTAATTTTCCTTATCTTTCCATACTTTAATGAAAAACACCCTGAAAAGA